ACAACACAACCTGCACCACGCATGACACAGAAGTATAAGATGATGTCGAAAAATTTGCATACCTGGGCAGACTGGAGAATGCTGGTTGCAGGCCTATACTCCACTAGTGGTTACAGGCGTAAATAAGTACCAAGTCGTTTCGCCTGATACATGACATCGGGGATACAGTCCCGGCAATGGAACTCGCGAAGAAGGCGAAGGCATGAAGCAGCCAATTCGTAAAGGTACGGCCAATCCATTTTAGCAAATTTGCTTGAAATCCTGATCAAACAGAAGATTGTAAAATCCAATTTGAAGGCTTTGTTTTGGGAAAATCCCTCCATGTATATATTTTCAATATGTTCTTACTGACACTTTCTGTGCTACATTCTGGTACTCTGTTTAATCCCATTTTGTGATGTTAATATGTGTATTTTCTTATAGTTTCAATTTTTTGTACTTTTATTGGAGTTTCCATGTTTCTACTGAACTGTATTATGCTGTTTATATTCATACCTACTTATGGCTTCAGCCATATCGGATTTAACACCCTGAGCGGTGAAACTTGAATCTGGACTGGAAGGGTGCAATTTTGGACTTATACAGAAGCATTCTTCCAGAATCGGAAATACATTGTGTTAAATTGTGTTAAAGAACAGTGTAATATTGTTTAGGTAATTCTTTATATTAATTAATTAATAATAGAACCTTTTTTTATCCAGACAAATTACCTTTTGTTCGATTAACTGGGAAAGGCGCGTACCTAAGCTTCTAGAACTGTCCTTCCGAATTCAGAAGCCTTTCAAAAACCTAACAAAGATGCTGCTCCATAAGAGCCACGGGTGATGATACAAGTCATCCCTTATACCTATAGTAACGCAACGTATCATGTCTATAATGATCATAAACGAGTTACTTAGGACGAAATTTCGCTTTCTCATCTCTATACTATGCCAGAATTCGCAAAAGGTTGGGGGCATCTTCAGCGAGCACACTACCGCTGGAGTGGGGTTAATGGTAGAGAATCAGAGATGGAAATCGAAGGATATCACCAGTGGAGTTCAACTCTGTCGGGTGTAGGCAGTAACTACGAAAGACAAATGGGTGAGGTCGCGCAAAATCCCTAGATCAATCAGAGTTAGACATTAACACCGTTGGATGCCGGCCCAGTGGTCCGATGGTAAGGCGTTCGCCTACAATGCCAAAGGTCCCGGGTTCGAATCCTGCGAGGAGCAGGAGTCGTGGATGCGTATTGCTGATGAGTCCCATACTAGGACGAAACGGCCGTCCAGTGCTTCCAGGTTTCTAATGGTGGTATAACAATGATGATTGATTAATGATTTCAAATGTATAAATAAGAGTCTTTTTCGGACAGTAGGTTCATGCAATTTCACTGTCAGGAACAGATAGATGCAGCTACATTGTCAACAACTGAGTACATATAGGGTAGATGCATAGCAGAGTTCTTGTGTGATATGCATCATCCAGGTGTGAATTTGCTACAAAGTTTCGGTTGGAAGGCGAATAGTATGATCTGTAACTTTAAGGAGCGCGTACGTAAAGTGTGTCTTGCGTAGAGGCACCATGGTTTTTCACTGATGATAAGGTTCTGAAAAGAGGCAGACGAGAGAGAAAAAGAAAATCATGACACAAGTCGGAGGTCTTACATAAATTTTCTATTAGAAACTATAATTTGGCAGTGAATTAAAAGGTAGCGCTAGCTTTCAAAGTAACTGCAAAGCCAAAATATTTTTACGGGCTCGCGAATAAAGTAAAACCTACAAACCAGGGAGTGCGGCCTCCTAATGGTTCAGTTGTTGAAGACCTAGCCAATCTACAGATTACAGAAACCTGTACTACTTACTGGTAGGACTCGAAGTCAGTATATTCACAGAAAACCGTTTCAGATTCATTCCTCGTCTTAATTCATGTAACTACTAGTGTGAATAATACATATAGACCATATTAAGATCTGTGGTTCCCTCAGTGGCGAAGGGAGTTCATTTGTTCTACCGAACGACATCACAACAATAGAGGAGTGAATTGCAGACAACGGGTTGAAAATCAGCCATTAAAAATGTCATGTAGTGAACATTCTGCCCCGTGTGGTGACTGCAACGCACGTTTTTATGGAGACTCGCTCTCATTTGTTTCATCGGAAAGCGATCTCGATCTGGTAACCACAGAGAGTTTGGACTCTATCTCAGACTATAGTGGGATTCTGGCAAGACAAGTCCGACTTTTTCTTTTATGGGAAGATAAACCGATAAAGTCATTACACTGTTATTCATTAACGTACTTCAAGCCTCAGTTCAGCGTTCTTAAAGTTGTTTTGCCTTCTACCATTCAAAAACACAACTCCTTTTAATCAAGTAAGATAACTGGCAGCACAGAGATCGATTGGATTATTAATCAATCGTACTCAATTCTTAAGTCGAATCTTGTTGCGTTGTAGGCCGATAAGAGATCTAGTAGTGGTGCCAAACACACTGAGTGTAGCAAGCCACTAAAATTTAGATATCCTACCAAAACCTCACTAACATGCCCCATGAGTCATTCCCCGAAAAATTGCACATCAGATAGTGACAACTCAAGGAACGGTCCGACGTTCTCTCACTAGGATCTGCTACCATTATAACGCTCTAGCAGCCGACATAGCGGTAGTCTGCTGACTGAGTAACTTTGAATGGTAGGGCACGTACTCACTGATCGGTTGCCACCTCCCGGTTCCTAACTTTTCCACTTATACCATGACCAGTTTATTTCCATGCTTGTTACCATCTACGTTTCCCTTTTTATTCCTAAACGCAAGTCATCTCACACTATCTGTACTATATATTTAATTTCCGAAATATTCGATTTCCCTTAAGCAATAGAATTTTCGTAGGTACCTTTCGTATTGTAATGAACTGTTACACTGCTCCAAAATAAACATACCTACTTAGGTTGAATGACGTTCAAATCCATAAATAACTACGCAACTGACTAGAATCAGTACAACCGAGTGGTAAACGACCACCATTGAATGTTACCAAAATATCCGTTACCATACCGAAGCAAATATAACTGGGAGCAGAGAAGTGAACTGGGTTATACCAAATCCCGGAAAAAAATAATGGATATAAATAAAAGCCCATCACTGAAACATTAAACCCTGAAAATTAGCACATCACAGATCAAACACGTTTGTTCCCATTTTTGTCTTTAAGAGTTACCTGACTTGAAATCCTCTTCCAGTGACCACAGACCCCCGCAGTGGATAGCCTCAAAAAGAGACTTGATGGGCACATACTCACATATGGATTACCACATCCTACTTGGACCAGTTGTGCCAGACGAATTTCTAGAAACTTATCAGTCATCTTTTCAGGAAACAAACTTGTTCTATCTTTCTCATGATTGCTGTTTCCTCTTATTTGCCTACACTTTCGTCCTCGAACAATCTTCATTGCCAATAATATCCAATAATTTACATATTTATGAAATTTTCCTCTTTGTATTAGGTTCAAAATCTTATCGTTTACCATATTGCAACTAACTGATATTCAACCTAGTAATGCAATACCTGTCGTTATTCGGAAACCTTGATGCTTTGATACGAACGCATTCACACAAATCACAGGACTCACAAATTCTTAATTAACTGCCAGCTGACGAGAAATAGTGCAACTGAGTGTCATCGATTGAACATCACCAAATACCTGAAGCCGTACCTAAAGAGGATGAGTTGAGAGAAAATGATTCAACTGGTTCATACTAACTCGTGAAAAAATTATGTCAGACAAATTTTGGATATTGGACCCTGTATACTGAACTTTACCTTTTTACTCAGGTATTGAATATCATAGGTTTAAGCGCTTGGTTTAGATTGCGTTTTACATTGTTGTCGTAGGATGTGTGGTAAGTCATGTGTAGTGTTTCGAAGATTTTATGCAGGAGGTGAAACCTACAAAAGTGTTTTTATTTACCTCCCGAGTTCTTTCCTTTTGCCATTTTATTGCTCACTGGGGACAAAACTCACGATTGTATGCAATAATTACTTAAAATCACGAACATATATAATCGGTTTATACACACGTATAGTCACTTAAAATGTATTTGCAGATAAACATTAGGATACTTTTACATAATTCCTAGGTCTGTGTTGAATTTTATCATGGTCCTACTTCCTGAAGTAACTTGAGTGACGTGTAAGAACAACCAAGTTACTCTATTCTAGTTCCTGTCTTCACTGTCATCTAGGTAATTTGCAATCATGACATCACTCATACTTAATCCTTTTTAATTTTAACACCAAAAGCTAATCACGCTCCACATACTAGACAAGAGCTTTGTATCATTTGTAGATTATGCTTAGCTTAATTTCAAAACCTGATTTTTATTGGTCAATCAAAAAAATAGATTAAAGGTTCAACATTATGCCCAGATTATGTATATCGCAATAAGTGTTATTTCCCTTCGTGTACACTGTTTACTTACAAACTTGGTAAATCTTGCTTGCTATAGGAATATTTGCATACCTCAACTATCGAGTTCCAGTTACTCGACAAGTGATTGTAAATACGTTGCTCAATGGCTTACATCGATTAGAGTATCGTGGTTATGATTCAGCAGGACTTGCGATCGACGCTGTTTGCCCAGAACGAGATGAATTATCAAATGTCGGAGAGCCTCACAATACTTTTATTCGAGTTGTCCGCTGTAAAGGAAAGGTGGCTTCGTTGGGACAAGCTGTTAAAGGTGTGCTTTAATGTCTTTTTATATCTGCTCGTACATATTCAAATTGATTTGTCTTTAAATATCTTTATATGCGTAAAAAGTTTAGTATAAAATTTTTTAGATATCTGCCGTGAATATATTCGAGGGCTGACCTGATTTCAAGTCCAAGTAATTTTCGGATGAGTTAGTGTTTATTTAATACGCTCGGCACAATCAGAAATAAGTTAGCTGATAGTTTTAGGAAGATTTCAGCAGGAAGGTCAATTGAATGTCTTCTAGATGAAAAGATTAGGTATGCATTCATGGGAAAGTTGGATAAGCATCTAATATAACGTAGAAAAACAATTCATACCGAAGAGGCTTGGAAAGACATCCAAACAGCTGTAAATACAGCAGAGATTTCTATCAAGAACTTAGATTGGCCGGCTAGGAAAGACCAGTGGATTTCAGTGTCATTCATTTGGTTAATGGAGGTCTGACAGTTAGTCTCGATAAACTGAGAGGACGATAAAGCGCGATGAAAACTCACATATAAACTGACGAGGCGTTTACTTAAAGGTTGCAGACAGTGGTGGAGAATGAAAGTAAGAATTAGAAATGACAGCAGCCATAAGTAATCCTGGACGACACGACTGATCAAGTATTAAAAAAGCAGAAAAAGACTATTCCTTTATTCACTGTCCATCCAAGGAATTAAACTGATCAGAAGATCATTTTATGCTACAGTTCAACTGAATTATAGCTATTATTCAGCTGCTTACTTTTTCCGAAAAACCACCGTAGCAGATTGATAAGGGTTCCCCAACTCTTAGGGTAGGTAGTGTAAAACAAAATAGGTCGGCGGGTATTATTGACAACCTCAGAGATCATGGCCCAGTTATGGTAGTTAATTTAACTGGGCTGTTAACTAAAGTCCGAGAGCTGTATTTAGTCGCATTTGAGTCGTCTTGATCGCTTATCATTCCGCTATGTAAGTATTTTTGCTAATTAATAGTAATTAAAGCCCTATGTACTATTTTTCGGTGGCCAACTCAAATGTCATATACTAGGACAGAGGGAGCAATCATTTATCGTCTATCCAAGATGTAGTGCACCGTTTGCCATTATCCTACTAATCAAGCTTTATTTTTGTTCATCAGGTTATTACTAAAATTATTGTCTAGCCATTATTTCTGAGAAAACTTTGTCAACTGAGAGTTGTAACATGAACAAGTGGTAATATGAAACTGCCATACATTGCAGTAAAAACACTATAAAGCAAATTTCCTACATTAAAACCTAATGACTGAACGTGCATCATAATAGATTACCTACTAGTCTGTGTTTATTTAAAACGTTTCATACAGAATAGCGCAATTAGATAATTACAATATAGTGTCGTTATTTCATTTACTAATCCCGTATTATTTATCCTTCATCATGACTGGCGTTAAGTTGTATTGTAAGGTCTACATATAATTCTTTCTGTTTATGACAGGGATTTAATTTCAACATAATGTATTGTTTATTTAGAGTTTTTAACCGACCATGACTTTCCAAATGAACTGATCACAACACATGTTGGCATAGCTCATACACGATGGGCAACGCATGGTGAACCAAATGAAGTTAATGCTCATCCACAACGTTCTGGTCCTGATAATGGATTTGTTGTAGTACACAATGGTATAATAACCAATCATATAGATTTAAGAGCATTGCTAGTAAGTTGATTTTTATTGTTAAGATAAGTCCTCAAAAAAAAGAAGAAACAAATGATGTTAATCAAAGTAAAATAACAAGACCGATTGTGAATAGCACATACATTTTGAAGTTAAACACGGCATTTAGTTTTCGGATGAGGAATTCATTTGTTAAACAACGCTGTATAAAGTCAAAGTTATGATAAATAGTTTCTTGAGGGACCTGAAAAAGAAGGTAGATTAGTGTCGGTCTGAACGACCTGGGAGCGTGACCGCAGAGCCCAAGGGACAACTGCTTGAGGTCGGTCACGCACAGTCTTTTTATCAGAGGTTTTTTGAGTATTAGCTCCGCTCTTAAAAACCCTTAGTGGGCACCCTTACCGACGGAGACGGAAATCTGTGAGGTGTGACATTTTTATGGTCAACATTTTCTAACCACTTCCTTCTCTGTGAGAAGGCAGCATCACTGCAGATGCTGGTTGTCCGAGGGAAACACCTTACTGCTGTCACACCTCTGTGCAGTCAGCAGTACGACTTCACCCTCAGACATTGAGTAGCTGATTTTAGTCTCATCGTTCTTCAATCGACCTGCCTGGCACGGTAGAACCTTCAAGAACATATATTCCAACCAATATAGCTCGGTTGGTTCATCACAATAGGCAAGCCTGACCATCACATCAAGGTAGCAGCTTCGGTCGGGTGATAAACAGTTTCGAAGTAATTCAGTGATAAATAAAGTTATTATAACTGGATAGGAATTTTTATGAAAATAGACAAAAATCGATCTAGACGGTCAGCTTTGTTTGTTCTTAACATTTTCTCCTATTATATTATTGATATTTATCACTTGGTCGTCTCATTCAAACTCCTTCAATTAACAAAGTTAACCTTAAATAGATGAACAAATTTTATACAATTCACAAAGTAAACCAGTTCACATAATTCTTACGTGCTTTTCTTTTTAAAATGGCTGGCTTATTTTGACGTCTTTCGGATAATATGTAAACAAACAGGTAAAATGTCATCACACTAATGAATGATAACCGATTGGTTATATAATCTCAATTAATCTAAGTCAGTGTTCTTTCATTTTATTTATTAACTGTATATAAAAAAACAAAAAACTTTTGATTGATTGAACTCAACTTTACCGACAGCTAGTTAATTATACAATATAGTCTATTGTGCAACAATGATCAATTACTGTATGTATATATATGTACAAGTTATACAATAACGAGCATTACACATTTTTGAAACCATGAATCGATCAATGTTAGACCACCATTAGAAACTTGGAAGCACTGGACGGCCGTTTCGTCCTAGTATGGGACTCCTCAGCAGTGCGCATCCACGACTCTTGCACCCCGCAGGATTCGAACCAGGGACTTTCGGTATTGTGCGCGAACGCCCTAACCGTTAGACCACTAAGCCGGTATCTAACGGTGTTAATATCTAACTTGATCAAATTTAAATGTTAGAATCAACTAACACATTACTAAAGATTAGCATTAATACATTCAGGTGAATCTGAATTCAGGAAAAACAAGTTTTCTTGCTTGTTTCATTGGTAATTTGTAATGGAATCGGAACTCTGTTCAGTCATTTAGTTATTTACAACATAGAACTTCGTACGTGCGTACAATTGTCACTTTAAATCCCATAGTGGTAGGTGTAGAAGTGTTAGCGGTAATGGAGAAGATTAGGGTTCGAAAACCTTATTCAAGAAGTATAATTCAGTGAGATAAATTTAGAAAGAGAAAGATAAAGGTGATGAGGAATTCAGAAGATTGGAATTTCAGAGAAGACAAAGAGTGGATGCAACAGTGGCCATTGCAAGCTATTTTGAGTCACTCCCTAATCTTCTCCATTGCTGCTAATAATTCTACTATTGCTATCACTCTTGGATTTGAACTGACAGTTACGTCTTTGTGCTGACGTGGTAAGGCAACCTGAACTGATATACTTGTGTACGAAGTTCTGTGTTGTATCTGTCTGTCTGTCTGTCCAAGTCGTCATTCAAGGTCTCTAACCATCGATTACTGTCATCTCGCGGACACCGACCAGGTAGTCGAAACCTGTCATCATGAATCAGTTCAGTTGTCATTGACTTCATGGATTTCTGCCATGTTTTGGTTAGGCAGCCCCTAATTTTCTTCCAGCCTACTCCTACACCACAAAACATAGCTCGTCGAGGCAGTCGGTGGTTAGGAATAGGCAACATATGTCCTAACCACCTCAACAGATTAAGTTTCAATAGTTCGTCGATTGATTTGCTATCCCAACCAAGTACTCGTTTCTTAATGACAGCATTGTTCCACGATACACGAGCGATGCTCCGAAGACACCTATAATCGAATACTAATAACCTACGAGTATCCTCAACTCCTGCTGGCCATATTTTGCATCGAGTTGCTTGTGGTGAGTGATGTCGATCCATTGTTGTTGTTGTCGTTCAATTTCTTCTGCATAATATAGTCTATTCACATTTTATTTATTATTTCTTACCCTATACTAATTCACAGAGTCGTCGCGGTTATGTATTCGAATCGGAAACAGATACAGAAGTTATTCCGAAATTTATGCAAATGATTTATGATTCACATAAAGACAATCCAATTACATTTTTAGAAGTTGTTGAATTAGTTGCTCAACAATTGGTAAGTCAATGATATGCATATTTGCTTGTGTGCGTGCGTGTGTGTGTGTGTGTGCCTGTCACGTCAGCCCTTCAAATCAATTTACTATTTTTGTGAATAAGGTTCCAGTGTGTAGATTCATGTGTGTTGAACGTTAACCTTAATTAGAATTATTAGTATTTATCGGAATACAAATGAATCCAACCAGATGAGGTTTTAAACAGGACGAGATATACATTTGGTTTCATCGTCGGAATTCTATTAACCTTTACTAATTCTTACTGAGTAGTTGTTGTCTTTAAAAGTTGTTTATTACTTCAGATTAGTAAATCAATAGCGTGAACAATTCTGCTCATTACTTTTTTGTGTATTATTCCTAAAATCATCATCTAGTCGAGAATGTTCTTTCATTTTACTGGGTTTGAATCAATGTTTAGGTTCTAAGTAGGATAAATGAAATTCAACCTGTATGCAAAGTTAGCAAAAACGTCGCCTGAAGCCCCTATGTGTAGCTACTACCGGTCCCAAGCTCGGTTTAAGGCGGACGGTTAGGCATAGGGTTAGTGACCCCTATCCCTTAGGAAACTAATTCGATAAAAAACGCCAACGATAACCAATGTTAACGAAAAAATAAATACTTTTTTTGCTAACAGTTTTACAAGGATTGTAGTTGAATGTCTTTGAGATAGTTTCTATACTTTGTATAGGAATATATATCAGTTTGATCATAGATATTTTGGATACTTTGCTTGTGGATTGCGAAATGATGATGTAGTGAACCATTCTGAAGTACCGGATAAAAATGAATAATCTACTGATTAGGAAATGGATCTTCATTCATTGTGGAAGCTGAGTGATATTCTATGTATGTCTAAACACCTACGATCTACCTCAGTGATGCTGTATGGGGTAGATGCTAACAAAGCAACAAACTC